GATAGATAGATAGATAGATAGATAGATAGATAGATAGATGATAGATGAATCCCTGGCAGTTGGCAGAGTCAGCCTGCAATACTGTATTCTAACAACTGCACCACCACAGCCCACCTTCCTTCCTTCCTTCCTTCCTTCCTTCCTTCCTTCCTTCCCCCAACAAATTTGGGTCCTCATTTTACCCCACTTTGGAAAGATGGAAGGCAGAGTCAACCTTGAGCCTGGTGAGATTTGAACTGCCAAATAGCAGTCAGCTGGCAGTCAGCAGAAGTAGCCTGCAGTACTGCACTCTAACCACCATGCCACCATTAAAAAGAATAATATTGGAAAATGTCCTCCTGGAAATAATAACATAGCTTTCACATAAAGCTTTACTTCCACACAGGGCACTGAGGACACATTGAAGGCATGATAAACAAATGGCTGAGTGGTGGTTGCTGAAAACAGGTATATTGTGACCAATTGTAGCACTTGATAAGGAATTATTAAAGTGACAAATTCATCCTTCATGTCATCATCTTTTAGAAAATGTAGCACCTTCTAAACATGCCTCAAATATAAATGCTGTCTATGTTTGCAATATTTAGAAGTTCTTGTTTTTTATTATATTTCCTCTACAATTCAGCTGAGGTCTCAGTAGGATAATGTAACACTTGGGGAAAAAGATACAAGCCAAGAGAGCAGCTCCAGAAGCTAAAATGGAGAAGATCTCCACGGCCACCATGGACTTCCCTTTGGTGCTTAGATAGGTGGGGAGGAAAGTAATCCAAACACTGCAAAAGACCAGCATGCTGAAAGTAATGAACTTGGCTTCATTAAAGCTATCGGGCAATTTCCTAGCTAGAAATGCCACTATGAAACTGATGAGGGCGAGCAAACCCAGATAGACAAGAACAATGTAAAACATGATAGCTGAGCCTTCCTTGCATTCCACGATGGTCTCTCCAAAAAAGGAATGGAAGTCCAAGTTAAGAAATGGTGGAGAGGTTATCAGCCAGGTGGCACAAATAACTGTTTGGACCAAGGGACAGGCTATGACAATGGAGTTGGTCAGTGGTTTTCCTAAGAGTTTCTTTGTCTTGTTCCCTGGTTTAGTGGCCATGAAAGCCAAAACCACCATGACAGTCTTTCCCAACACAGAGGAAACTGCAAGGGCAAAGAGAATGGCAAAGGCAGATTTTTGGAAGAGGCAGGTGATCTTCCCTGGTTGACCAATGAAGAGGAAGGAGCAAAGGAAGCAGAGCAGGAGAGAAACCAGGAGGATGTAGGTGAGATCTCGGTTGTTGGCCTTAACAATTGGTGTGTCATGATGTTTATAGAAAATTGCCAGGATTGCAGATGTGGTCAGAGAGAGAGAAAGAGCTATAGAAGTTAAAGTGTATCCCAGGGTCTCATCATAGGCAAGGAAGTGGATCTTCTTGGCAATGCATTGATCCTTCTCCTTGTTAGGATATTGGTCTTCTGGGCAGGGTTCACAGTGAGCTGCATCTGAAATCAAGAGTGCTTGTGTAAGGTCATCCACAGCATCTCCCATGAGCATTATCTCTCCCCAGGGAGTGACATGATTGTCTTCTTTCTGCTGTGACCAAGCAATAAATTGATGACAGGACCCAGCTGTCAACTCACTGGACACTTCAATGACGTCTGTGGCTTCCAATTTGAAATTGCAACATATTTCCCCTGCTACCTTATACTGGACCCTACAGAAGACTGAGATATCTGTTAGCCAGGAATGCTGCTGTTTGGTTTTTGTGT